TCAACTATTTAGAAGCTTTAACTTAACACTGGGTACGTCTAATGATACAATTTTTCAGATACTGAAAGATCTGAACATGAGCAAGAAGAGCGCTAGATAGGTACCTCGACTTCTCACCGGCGACCACAAGACAGCGCGTTACTTCATCGTCGGAATGTCTGAAGCTTAAGGAGGAAGGGGATGCATTTCTAGTCACCCAGGATGAAACTTGTCTTTCACAAAATGACCCAGGAACAAAGGCCGACTATTTGCTTCAAAAAATTATCATTTCATTGTCATGCAAGTCTATATGTATCGAAAATCAGAAAAAGCATCATTTACTTCGGCCGAGTAGCTTTAATAAAGATTCTTCTTGTTTGAATTTACAGATTATTAGTGAAGTCACAACGGTTATCTCTTTACTTTTTCTACAACCCACGTATAAACCTGATAAATATGTCACTTTCGATGATAATTGTAACAATAATTTATAACGGTCTATATAATGTGTAATTTAAGAGCTGACACATATAAATCTTACTTTGTATAATCTTTATGAAAGTTAAGAATTTGAATAAGTATGTACACTATATAACTTATCAAAATGGGTTTCCTATTGCACAAGGAATATAAACAGATGCTTTAAAGTAAACTAGGAATGTGTGGTAACGTCACGAATGCCCCTCGCATGCAGCCAAAATTTCAAATAATATAATAACATTTTGTTTTAAATTTGTTTGCATAAACGATTTTTTTATTCCAAGCTCAATGTCAATCTTAACCTTTTTATGGTGGCTCTATACATCGATGTTTAAAGTTTTTAAAACATTGCGTCTGGTAATTTGATTGTTTTGTGAAATTGTTTGTCAACGGTGGTTGGGTATTGAAACAGAACAGAACAGAATATTTATTTTGACTTAAGCAAATAAAGCTTTTCATCGATCATAAAAATATAATACATGTCCATTCAATCGCATGCAAATGAAAATGGCAAAAAATGTAAGTTGCATAGAAGGAAAATAATATACAACGTAATCAGTGAGCATCAAATCAAATTGGCAAATATATATTACAAACACATCAACATTTGATATTATTAAACTTCGAGATTAATGTGATTGTTTTTTACTTTCAGAGCTCTTGAAATAAATATAGACAGTCTTCACAATATTTTGTGATTATTGCAATCTAACAGTTCAATAAACTTAAACATGTAAGGACGATTTCTGACGAACTATATAATTTTCTAACTTTTTTATACTTCTCACATATACACACAAAATGAAATTCGTCTTCAATATCGTCTTTGGTACATATAACACACTTTCGTTCACTTCTTATCTTGTTTCTATGGCGACCCTGATCTATGGCTAAACAGTACGAAGAAAGTTTAAATTTAGCCAAGACATTTCTGAAGTTTTGTCAAGTATTCAGACATTTCAAAAGTTTGTTTAATTTATTTATATACAGTCAATGCCGTTAAAATGCTTACTGCCTCTCTCCACTGTACTATATAAATGTCTTTAAGCATAAGCTTCAACTGTGCAATAAAGCACTCTATGTTAACAACAGATGCAGGAAAACACAAGAAATCATAAAACACCATTCCTTGCAACATAGTCTTAACTTTTGATAACCAATTGTTTTGTAAATCATGTGACTCAAATAGAAAATTATAAACAGAATATAAAGTACAATTCTTATCATGTAAATTTAATAGTTTGAAAAATATTTCATCATTTCCACTTTTCTGTTTAAATTAACGGAAACCGTCCCTTTACACCATAAAGTGCATAACCCTTCTTACTTATTTTTACATCCAAATCCCCATAGTTCAGAACAATATGACATTATAGATGTTACATAAGCATCAAAAAGTTTAAAGTTTATTTGTAATGGTATTTGCATCCCTCGAGTGATGCTTTTGAGAGAAAACATTGATCTAAGAGCTTTATCTCTTAATGCAGCTATGCCTTTTCGAAATGAACCGCCACTGCTCATTACAAAGCCTAGGTAATTAAAGTTTTCAACAATATCTATGTTTTGGCCGTTATAAGTCCAAGCCTGATTTCTTGGTAATTGACCACCCTTTCGGAATACCATAATTTTAGTCGTTTCAACGTGAACAGTTAGGTGCCATCTTTTAAAACACGTCTCTAATTGGTTAATATTGATTTGAACAGCTTCAGATGTTTAGGAGTCCCAAACCCCAAGTTTGAATCCCTCTTGGACTTTTGTTCATAATAACTAAATTAAATTGTTACAATCATTCTGATAAATAATTTAAAAAAACAAAACATTTTTTTTCTGCTTATTTTTTCATTCATTTTCATATCTTTAATAAACAAATACTTTTCTTCTGCCAAACCGATGGAAGGTAGATTTCAAATATAATTTACTACTTGCACTAAGGGCAGATGATATGAAAACACATGTAAATGTCATCGAGTCGGAAATTTCTCATCTTTTTTTAAAAATCAAGGGGCATAACTCTGGCATAAATTATCGAAAAATGACCAAATTCGATTTTGACCTTCGCATTCTTTTAATGTATCCATGTGTCAAATTTGAGTTGACTGTGTACAGCTGTTGGAGAACGGAACATTTCTCATTAGTTTAAAAGTTCAAGGGGCATAAGTCTGGCAAAAATCATCGATCAATGACCAAATTCGCACTTGACCTGCGAATTTTTTGGACGAATCCATATGTCAATTTGAGTTGAACATGTGTACAGCTGTTGGGAAGATAACATACGGAAACGAAAAATTTCTTATTATTTTCAAAGTGAAAGGGGCATAACGCTGCCAAAAATCATTGAACCAAAGCTAAATTCGAAATTGATCTGCGCATTCCTTTGACGTATCCATTTGACAAATTTGAGTTAACCTGTTGGGGATATAAGGAACGGAAACTGAAAATTTCATATCATTTTAAAAGTGAAAGGGGCATAACTCTGCCAAAATAATCGAACCATAACTAAATTCGAAGTTGACCTGCGCATTCCTTTTAAGTTTGAAATTTAAGTTGAATATTTACAACTGTTGGGGAGATAATGAACAGACACTGAAAATTTTATCAAGGGGCATAACTCTGCCAGAAATCGGACCATGACCAAATTCGAACTTGACCTGTATTTTCTCATGATATATCCATACGTCAAATTTGAGTTGAATGTGTGCAACCGTTGCTAAGATAATAAGCGGAAACTCATGATGACAGAATGACGGAAGGACGGAACAGGGTAACACTATATGCCCCAGCCATTTTATGGCGGGGGCATAATGACGTACTAGTTATAACCAATCAATATGTGAAATATAAAGAGTTTGATCTTTGAACTAGTGAGCCCATTATGACTAATAAATAATTGAGATAAAATGTTTTCAAGGTAATAAGCAGAAACCATATTTACTTTTAAGGCACCTGTGATATTGACATTTGAACTAGTGATCCCAAAATCAAGAGGGGTCATCTACCACATATGACTATTCAATATGAGTAATATGAAGACTTTGTAATAAATAGTTTTTATGATAATGAGCAGAAACCATTTTGACATTCAAGGCCCCTGTGACCTTGACCTTTGACAAAGTGATCCCAATATCAATAGGGGATATCTACTAGTAATGACCAATTAATATGTGAAATATGAAGACTTTGTAATAAATAGTTTTCAAAATAATAAGCGTAAACCATTCTGGCATTTAAGGCACCTGTGCCCTTGACCGTTACCCTAATTACCCCAAAATCAATAGGGGTCATCTAATAGTTATAACCAATCAATATGAAAAATATGAAGACTTTGTGATAAATAGTTTTCAAGAAAATACGCGGAAACCATTCTGACATTTAAGACTCCAGTGACCTTGACCTTTGAGCTAGTGACCCCAAAATCAATAGGGGTCATCTACTATATATAAAAAATCACTTTGTGAAATATGAAGACTTTTTGATGAGAAGCTTTCAAGAATGAGCGGATACCATACTTTTATTCAAGGTCCATGTGACCTTGACCTTTGACTTAGTGACCCCAAAATCATTAAGTGTCACCTACTAGTTATGTCCAATCAGTATGTGAAATATGGAGACTTTGTGATAAACAGTTGTCAAGATAACAAGCGGAAACTATTCTGACATTGAAGGTCCCTATGACCTTGATCTTTGAACTAGCGACCCCAAAATCAATAGGCGTAATCTACTAGTTATGATCAATCAATATGCAAAATATTTTCAAGATAATGAACAGAAACCATACTACCATTCAAGGCCTTGTGATCTTGTCCTTTGACCTAGTGATCCTAAAATTAATAGGGGTCATCAAATAATTATTACCAATCAATATTTGAAATTTGAAGACTTTGTGATAAATAGTAAGCAAGGTAATTAGCAGAAACTATTCTTACATTAAAGGGTCCTGTGACCTGTCCCTTTGATCCAGTAACTCAAAAATCAATAGGGGACATCTACTAGTTATGACCAATCACCATGTGAAATATGAAGACTTTGTAATGAATAGTTTTCAAGATATTTGGCGGATATGTCATTTAAGGCACATGTGACCTTGACCTTTGACCTAGTGATCCAAATATCAATAGGGGTTAGGTACTAGTTATGGCCAATCACTGTGTGAAATATGTAGACCTTGATATAAATAGTTTTCAAGATAATCAGCAAAAACCATTCTGACATTTTATGCCCATGTGACCTTGACCTTTGACCTAGAGACCTTTAAATCAACAGGGATCTTCTACTAATTATGATCAATCAGTATGTGAAATATGAGGACTGTGTAGTTTTTAAGATAATCAACGGGAACCATGTGGTCTACTGACGGACAGACCGACCTACCTACCGACCGACATTAGCTAAACAATAACCCCTTTTCTTCGAAGGGGGGGGGGGCTTAATAAGCATAATTAATAAAATAACACACATTTTCAACTAAAAATTACATAGAATGGAATGTTTGGAATTTACGATGTAAAAACTTATTCAACAAACATGTGCGGCGTATATCTTACCTGTACAATAAACGATTTTCCAAGACGTAAATACAGCTCATAATAAATGATAACTAGTTTGTTCTAATGTCTCTTGTACATCTGCAAAGAAAGCAACACTATTTCAAAACGATGTTACATACTAATACATGCAACGTACATTGTGTTATATATGTATTTGGTTGGTTTTTCCCTGTCATATATGTCAAAAAAGTACCATAAACCTGTTCATGTTCTACTCACGGCTTAATAAAGTTAATTTGGTTGCATACAAGCTGGTGGTTGTAACAGTTAATATAAAATAGAAGATATTGAATGAGTGTAGAAGAGGCGAGCATAATATTGTTTTATTCAACTCGTTCAATAACTTTAGTATTTGAACCCACACGAATATTTAATTCTATTTACCACATATTCAAAATAAAAACGATTTACAGTTTAAAAGGGTCATGTTCCATTGACGCGCCTATAGTGTAACGCGAACATTAGTGCGCGTTAACGATAAAAACAGAAAGGGGAAAAAAAACAAGACACTGAAACGTGATATACTCCTCTGGCTCATTCTCTTCTCTACGGTTATCTTTGCAGATGATTTTATCTATAAGTTATTTTGCATTTTTATGTCTATCAGGACCAGAGCTGCATCAGTACTAAGGGTGTAGTAGTTAAGTACCAGTACCAGTACTTGGCAAATTATGCAGTACCATTACAAGTACCAGTACTAGATTTTAGCTCGATACTGCAGTACCAGTTCTTTTTTGGGGAAGTAATTAAGTATCAGTACCATTTCTTTTATTTAATAAATACACAGTGTCAAACAAATAATTGCACATATTCTTCATCAAAGAAATCAAATCATTATTAACTTTAAAGCAGCACACCTCCAGATTCATGCTAATTTTGATGAAAATTTTAGAAATGTATTTAGAAGTAAAATATTGTACGGCAAATTAAGTAACTTACATATTGCAATTGGCACTTACAATCCAAGAAAATTACCAAAAAGTTATCAACATATGCAAAAGTAGCCCTTACTGCGTTAGTAATGCAGTAGAAACATGGTAAAAAATATTACAAAACAGTCTTAACCGCACATAACATAAAAAATATAACTTGGATCTTTAATGTTTTAATGTAATTTACAGCTTTATTTTATGAGAAAAATTGATGCTATTTATTAAAAACAAAAGTACTGCATTGTTATGCAGTAGCAGTACCACTTTTTAAGACAGTAATGCAGTACCAGTACCAGTAGTAGCAAAATTGTGTAAGAGTAATTCAGTATCAGTACCAGTACTTGCAAAATCGCTGCAGTACCTACTGCAGTACCAGTAATGAAGCTCTGGTCAGGACTGAAATGTCAATGAATATTTTCGCATTTAAGTCACAAAGATGACATGTAAACTAGAATAACTTAGCTACATGCGCATATTATCCCGCCAGATGATTGATTCAGTATTAACAAGTAGAGATTTTGATGCTAAAGCATCAAGTCGCCGGATAGAAATATGATTGCATTATCATAATAAATAATAGAAAATATCAGTTTAATGGTTCGAGTATAAAGAAAAGAGGAACAATAAGTTGAGTAATGTTTATTCAGAAACACGTTTTCACGTACTTACCACAATTATATCTTTCTTGCTATAAACTTTGTAAAAGAGTTTTATGCAATAAATTCATGTTGTGTTATAATAAAACATCATATTTGAAGCAAACTTGCTTTGCAATTTTGTCAAGAAACTGTTATCATTATTAAATAAGGAAGTACTGTTTGACAATATTTACCCGAGACTCAATAATTTTCGGGAGCTGTTTCGTTAGCTTACATAACTTATTATGATTAATGTTAACGATTTCATTGTTAGTATAATAACATGTATAATTATATCAATTAATACTGCTCGATGGCCTAGTGGTAAGTTGTAACCTACATGTAGTTGGCGCAAGTTCGAATCATGGACAAATCCTGTGTGTAAATTTCATCAATTGATTGTATCTTTATAGATTATATCTTTTAACTTTATGAAACATAAGTTGATAAATCGTGTGTTTTATTTCTAGCACTTTTTTATTTCATAATTTTGATAAATGGTCAAGTTTTGCAAAATACAAAAAGTATTATAAAAGAAAACATAAAAAAATCACTTTATCGAACCTACAGTCTTCAATTTGAAACTAACTTAAAATCTAACACCTTGTCATCGAGGCTTGTAAAGCAAGTGATATGATTATAATTCTACTTGTAATTCTACTTTATACATATACCGTTGTACCATACTGAATCCGATCATTACCGACAAATTATTACCGATCATCGAATATTTGCAAAGAGACTATGAAAATAGATATGCTTAATTATTGCATCAAACAATGCAATTCTACTAAAAAACGTGGTGTCTGCATAAAAAAAAATTCTTATTGTTATGTATGCAACATATTACATGTATATAGTTTGTATCTGACCAGTTGGTTTTTCCAATATTATCATTGTTCTATTTTAGAACATAAACTACATGTATGTACTAGAAGGTTCTTAACTATTGTAGAAAACTCATAA